CTTGGAGTACCCAGTCTCCTACAGTAGGAGCTGGAGTCAGTGGCTTTGTCCTGCCTCAGTGGTGATATTTGGTGTGAGAATGGGCTCATCTGAACTGAAGCACTTCTTTTCACACCCACCTGTAAGGTAAATCTTTATACAAACAGTGGCTCAGCAATCTCCAGGCCAGAGATAGGTTGGATACCCTGTGAATGGGTCAGCCATTCAACAAATGCTGAGGGGGGAAAAACTGTGAAACTCTACAAACTGACTCTGAAAGCAGAGCCCTTGTAATTGTGTCACAACACACCAGATACTTAAAACAGAGGCCCAGAGGGGCCGTGCCATGAGTTAGTGTGAGTTTTAGTGTAGGGTTGCAGTTTTTGCTTTCCCTGATCACACTTAACTCCATTTGGAGTAAAGGACAAGATTCCTGGTTTTTCTTACTCTTTTCCAATTCCCAATATTTTATACCCTCTTTCAGCTCAGAGAGGTGAGAGGCTCCAGCTTCCTCTCTCATCAGAATATCTTTCTGCTCTTCTTATAAAATGAGTTTATGAAAAACATCTCTACTGGTATTAGGTCTTAAATAAGAGGGGAAAGATAAGTCTTTTGTGTTTCAGACCCCATGTCCCTTTACTGTGTTTGAGGTCTTTGCTTTCAAAGCATTTTGTTATATTTGGATATCACAGCCTCATACATGGGATTACAGAGAACTGCCAGAGCTGGTCATGTCTTCTCTCCCACCTCTCAAATATGACAGCTCAACTCAATTGATGTTCTTGCTGACTGGGTTTTGGGTCCTAAGGCCCTGTTCACTTAGTTGGAGGCTTGAATTTCCCTGTAGCTGGCTCAGATGAGCTAATGAAGTCAGTGCAGGCATGAGGCATTCTTGATTTAGACACAACTGAATTTGAAATGATTTTCACGCTTCAGGGCATAAACCAGCTCCTACCTCATGGGATTAGAAAACATATTCTCCTGTGAACAGGTTATTCCACAACTGGCCACTGCATGTTTCTTCTGCAGCAGCTGATGTTGGTTACTGTCTGAGACAGATGGAAAGCTGGAAGGATTGTGACCTGACCTGGTAAGGTAAACGTGTGCTGGTAAATGGGGAACAGACCAGGATTACTTTGCTTTTTCCAAAGGGATTGTGGAGTTTTGTGACTGACTGTGAGGGCAGTTAAGGCCCTGTCCTGTGGTGCAGGCTGCCTTTTACAGCTGAGCAAAGTGATAGCAAAATGGCACAGGAGCATTTAGGCTGTAAATCACCCTTGTGTCATGCAAGGCAGGGGCAGGGGTTGATGGATTCAGAGCAAATTCTTGTTGAAGCTGTAGCATATAATAGAAATTCTATTATTTCTAGGAGGCCTCATACCACAAGACATTTCTGTAGATGCTGTAAGCCCTCTGCAATGGGTATTTTCTATTTCATAGGATTTTTCCCTAGTGGAAGGAACACAGCAGGATTTCTGCTCTCACTTGTAGTCAGTCCTGGGAAGAGGAAGCAGGGCTCTTCCTTAGTTTGACTCTCTTGTACAGGGATAATTTTCCAAGATCTCTGGAGCAGGTCAAAAATCAGAATGGGTGAGCAGTGCTTCCAAAATAGAATACTGCATAGAGCTGTGCACTGAACTTCATCCAGCTGAAACCTGTTCTTTAGTCTCTGCAAAAATCTCTCCTCACTGTTGACACTCTCCCCTCACACTCTGTCGTGGGTCTAATCCCACCAGCTTTCATCTTACACCAGTTATTTTGGTTTATAAACAGGGAGGTGAAAGACAGTGCAGGTCTTTTGAGGAGTGGCACAGAATTTCTTCACCTTATGCCAAGGTCTGATGATGTCCCCAAGGACCAAAATGCAGTGGACTAGGACGTAGAGGAGCCACACTCTTGCCTAAGTCCTCTCACTATTCAGGTCATGCCCATCTTTAAACAGTGAGAGGCAGGGAAGCCTCAGTTCTGTCCTGAGCCAGGAGACTTGCAGAACTCCATAGATTTGCCCCTGGCACACTGCTGGGCACAGGTGGAAAAGCCAGGAGCTCGTGGGGGCTGCAGTGTACACACCTGGTAATTAACGTACAATCGTCTGTCATTTGTTTACTTCGGCCTTTTGATCTCCACAACAGGTTGCATTAATTTTTTCTTTAATTGGCGTGTCTATTCCCTTGGCCCTGGATTGTTGCCTTGGAGATGCACAGGAGACCTTTGGAGAACTGCTTATTACAGTGGCAGGTGTGCACAATGCTGACCTGGACAAACCTGTGTGAGTCACCTGCTGATGGTGGGGTTGTAGGTGAGTCACTGAAAGTGAGGGGATCCCACATTCCTGACCTCCCCAAGGGCAGTGTTAATGCCTCTGGGCGCTTGTTGTTAAACAACAAGCACAGAACAAGACGGTTCGCTCTCCTCTTCCCAGTCCCCCAGAGCGAGGTGGCTGGATGAGAAGGGCAGGAGTCCAAATCAGAGGCACCCTCTGGAAGTGTGGCTGACCTGTAACTGCTCTCACGGAGGATAATGAGGTTGGTATGGGCAGGAAGCAAGTGTAGAAGAGCTATTTGTGTGTACTTGTCTGACTGATGAAGGAAGGAAAACTAAATGCACCAGACTAATGAGTGCCCAGTGAGTTGGGAGAGCGGGAGTTTGGTAATGTCAGGAAGGAGGGGGGGCTCCTCTAAGGAAAGAAGTGGAGGGCACTGGCCTCCTGTCCCGAGTCAAGAAAAAGACACTGCTGGAAAGATGAGATGAGACACCAAAGGGGCAGGGAGAGTGTAATGCTTTGATATCTAGAAAAGGAGGGATCTGACAACCAGATGATGGTTTTCAGCAGCACTGGTGCATCTTTTGGTAGCTCAGTGCCTGGCAACTTCAATAGCAGCGCAGATCAACTGTAAGAACACCACATATGGTCCAGAAAGCTGTTCATGCATTTCCTCCCTCTGCATTACTCTTGATGACTGTTTGAGATCAGACACATTTCTCATGAGCGGTGATCCAGGTGCCCAACCTTACACTGTTCCTGTAACCTGGAAAGAGGCAGGAACTTTTCTTCCTGCAACATTTCCTACACCAGGGAAATGTGCTGCAAAATCCCTCTAAAGTCACCTTCCCTTCATGGGCAAGGACATGGGGTGACAGCACATGACTGGTGACCCATGAATAAAGTAATGAGTGTATTTACATGAGGCCAGCAGTTGCCCAGGTGCTTGTCTCATATATATTATACACACTCATATAAATATGTATGTGCCTGTGCACCATTTTTGTGAACTGTTGGGCAGTCCCTAAGAAATAAATGCATGTGTAGCTGCATTTTGTCTGGCCTTTTGTCACCAAATGTCCCACTGACAGACACCTGTGTGTGTGTTACAGGACAGGGAAGGAGAATTAAAGGGAGGCTGCTCTGTCCTTGTGTCCAAGGAGACCACATCTTCCAAGCTATAAAAGATTCCCTGGGCAGAGGAACTGCACTTTGCAGCAACTTTTACAACACTATCTTTAGTGCCAATTTCTTGCCAGCACTGCTGCTCAGATTGCGTTGACCTGAAGCTCTTTTCATCTGGAGCAGGGACTGTATTTGCCTGTGAGAGTACTGGTATTTTATGGCTCTGTAGAGTGTTTTGGAAGAGGAGTGAATTGTCTTGCTCTACTACATTAATTTCCATCATCCTTAATGACAGAACAAATTAAAAGATATTTCTGGACTGAAGTCCTTCCAAGGGGCAGCTCTTCCTTTGAACCTGCTGCTCATGAAACCAAGGGAGAGCACCAGGCAGTCTTTGCTGGAGTTTTCTGGTCCCACTCAGGGTGGACAGAAATCCCCAGAGGCCTGTTGTCTCCCAGTGTTCCTGTCATCACCTCATGGGTCTCACTGGGTTCACTAAAACATGAGGGAAAAGGCTCTGGTATCCCTTTGGAGACAGCCCCAGGTGCCTTAAGATGGGGTGGTTGGAGGGACTATATATAACTATATATATGACACCTAGAAAACTATAGCCTATAGGTCATTATGGGATCCCTACAGTGATGACCTCGAGGTCTCCTCCAGCACTGTGGAGCCTGAGCAAGGTGGCTGTTGGATGGAGTATCTCCAGTGAGGAGACTCCACACCCTCTCTGAATAGCCTGTTCCTGTGCACAGTCACTGCACAGTGAAGTTCTTCCCTGTGTTCAGGTGGAGCTTCCTGGGCATCGTTTTCTGCCCATTGCCTTGTGGCCACGTGGCTGGCACCACAAAGCAGAGCCTGGCTCCATCTTCTTGGCACCCCACTTGAGACGTTTATACACATTAACGTGGTCTTTCCTTGAGGCTGAACAGCCACCACTCCCTCAGCCTTTCCTCATATGAGAGATGCTCCAGTCCCCCAGTCATCCTCGATGTCCTCTGCTGGACCTGCTCCAGGAGCTCCATGTCTCTGAGGGGAGCTCACAGAATCACAGAGTCGATAGTGTTGGAAGGGACCTCTGGAGATCATCTGGTCCAAGCTCCCTGCCCAGGCAGGGTCACCTGCAGCAGGTGACACAGGAACATGTCCCGGTGGGTTTGGAATGTCTCCAGAGAGGGAGACTCCACGCCCTCCCTGGGCAGCCTCTTCCAGTGCTCTGCCACCCTCAACATAAAGAATTTCTTCCTCGTATTGAGGTGAAACTCCTTGTGTTTTAGTTTATAGCCACTGCTCCTCATCCTGACACTGGGCACTGCTGGAAAGAGTCTGGCACCATCCTCTGATGCCCATCTTTGAGATACTTATATGCACTAATGAGTCTTCTCCAGACTAACCAGGCCAGCTCCCTCAGAGAGCTGCTCCAGACCCCTCACCCCCTCCGTGCCCGCCGCTGGCCCCGCTCCAGCGGACCCTCGTCCCTGACGGAGCTCCCGCTCCCTCCTCCTCCTCCTCCTCCTCCCGCTCCATGTCGCGCCGCCCCTGCGGTGCCGGCGGGGCCCTGCAGGCGGCGCTGGCCGCGGGCCGTGCCGGGCGGCGGGAGGAGGAGGAGGAGGAGGAGGCAGCGAGTGCCCGGATCGGCCGCAGCCGCCGCCGCCGCCCCGCGCAATCCGCCGCCATCCGCCGCGCCCCGCGCCCATCGCCCCCCCGCACCCGGCTCCGCAGGCACCCCCGGCTCCCCGCCACCACCACAGGTGGGTATCGGGGGCCGGCGGCGGCGGCGGCCGCGGATATTCGGGGCGGTGAGTGGGGCCGGGGGAGGTGGGGGGGAAGAGGAGAGGAGAGGAGGGAGGGGAAGGGAGAGGGAAGGTGGGACGAGGCAGCGCTAAAATGGAGCCGGAGCCAGCGGCTGCGGCACCCCGCGGCCTGCTCGCCTCGGGCCGGCTGCGGGGGGACCCCCGCGGTTCGGGGCCGGGGTGGCCGCCGGTGGTTGTTGTGCGGGGCCTGCCCGGGCCCATCCCCGGCGGGATCCCCATCCTCGGGGCCCCCGGGCCGGGCTCCAGCCCCACGGGCCGGGAGGGCCGCGCTGGCCCAGCCGCCCCCGCCCCGCTCAGCAGCCGGGCCGGGGGGTCCCCGCCGCAAAGGCGGGTTGTTTTTCTTGGTCGTCTGGAGTGTGACACAAAGATATTTTTGTCGCGCCGTGTGTGTGTGTGTGTCTCAGCAAAACAAGGGGGGGGGGTGGCATCCAGAAGGCTCGGCCGGTTTGTTATTGTGCAGGAGCTACAAAAGGGCTTGCTGAGGCCGAAATGCGGCTGGGCCGGGGAGGGTGGGGGAGCGAGGATGGAGTTTGTGCGCTGGGCCAGCTCGTTTGGTAGGTTTGAAAGATGTTTTAGGGTTATTTTTTGTTGTCCAGGAAGGAGTTTATTCATCTCTGTGTGGGAGCAGCTGTGCCCCCCTAATGCGGGTCCCGGGACACGTGCTGAGCATCTTCCAGGGGGGTGGTTTTGGTCGTGTTGGTTGTGACAAAAAAACCCCCAAATCTCCCAAGTCAGAGCTGCCGAAAGGGGTTTGAATGAGCTGGGAGTTGTGGGTTTTGTTAGGAAAGTTGTTTTGTTTTGTTTGTCTTCTGAACGTGCAAAGGGTGAGATACTCGTTCAGTATCAGCTCATGGAATGTTTGTATATTGATGTTACTGGTGTTTGGGATGATAAGGTACAATAAACATACATATTCAGGATTTTAGTAATTTTGTTTCTTTCTAGGAACAGATATGAAGTGTAAGCACATTGCAGTGTCTACATCCTCTGCTTAGGGGGAAGGCATCCCACCCCTTCCAGCACTGAATCCAGGTTTATAGAGGAAGTTTTGTTTGGGTTAAGCCTTGTCTTGAAAAGATACAAGTGAGGCCTCCACTGGAATGGGCCCTTCCATGGTGTATAAATAGCTGGTCCCTGCCTTGAGCCCAAGTTTGGAGAATCGGCTCCTGATGAGAAGGTTTTTCAGATATAAACTGGCAGACTTACCTGCCTTTTCCACGTTCAGTTGTCACTGGGGTAGTTAAACCCCGGCGTCCTAAAATAATCCTCTAGGGATTGAGGAGTAAAGTCACCTGCAAGAGGTAGGGAGGCTGAGACCGTATTCTGAAAGTGGAATTTAAAGAGAGGATGGAAAGTGATGCTTTCAGGCTTTCTGACTGAAAAGTTACCTGCCTTTTTGCACTCTAAATGAAACATTGTAAATGGGCCTGGGTGTTACCAGGAGTTCATCAGGAGATTTTTGTGGGTTCCTCATAGGTGATGCTGCTTCTTTCAGGTCTCTGGTTTGAGAAGTTCTTTGTAGTTAACAAAGTATTTTGGGTGGTACCATAAACGAGACCTCTCCCCTATGACCTCTTTGAAATGGTCTTAGTGTTTTGCTGGTTTCAGTCAAAAAGTTAAGATTAAAAATCATACTTGGACAAATCACAAATATTATGTGAGGTTGCTGCTTTGTTTCTGTTAGTTTTGGGATTTTAAAATTACACATTTCCTCAAGCCAGTGTGATTACATCTGCTGTTAGCTGTATTTTGATTTTGTGCCTAATTTGATAAGTACCTTGAGTACAAGTTGATTCCTTTTTGTTTGTTTGTTTGTTAGACTGGTCTGCTTTTCTGCACAGCCTGAGTAAACTAGATATCTGTCACGTGTTTGAGGATGCTTTCAGCAGTTTTCACTGTTAAGAAAATATATTTTTACATGACTTGACAGATACCTCTCTTAAAAGAAAAAAGGAAAAGAAAGTAAACCACGTGTTTGATACAGGTTTCCAAAGTTGCCATTATAAAGTGCCTTGGTGCCTTGTTTTTTTCTAAATTTGGAGAATTTTATTTTGGTCTGAGAGTGCATTTTTTTTCTTATGAGCTCTGAGCTTTTTTTTTTATTATTATTTTTCTCTGTGTGCATGAGAGCTTAAAAGGGCAACTCAGCCAACTGACTGAAAGAGGAAAAGTAAGTAAATGCTCCATACAAGTGCTGGAAAGGAGATGCAGGGCTTAAAAGTATTTTTCAATAAATATGAGTAATGTTCCTAAATTTTTTTTTTAATTAAAATTATTTTGCTTTAGAGTGACATCTTAATAAAACCTTTTAATAAAGCTTTGTGTAAAACCTAACTTCAAAGGCTAATTTATTGGAGCAACCTCCTAAAGGTAGGGGTGGCATTGGAGTCTGTGTTTGTCTGACACAGCTGGTACCTGAGTGATGGTGTAAAGACAGACAGCCCTCAGTGTGAGTGGCAGGGATGGTTTCAGAGCACCTGATGGTTGTACCACTCCTTTCTTGCCCTGCTGGGATCACACCTGAGGTGTGGCTGGGGAAAACAAGGACCCTGATGCTGAGCTGGACTGTGCAGGCTGTTGGGTGATCCATTACAGAATTACCTGCCTGTTCAAGATTCAAGAGTGTTGGTTGTTGAAGGCCTTTGTTGTGCTCACCTGACTAACTGGAAGTATTTATGGGTGAGCTGGACTCACTTTGAGTGCTGCTGCACTGAAAATAACAGTAAACCTTTTTTAATTATTTTCTTTCTTTTATGATGGTAATCCAGAAAGAAATTGTGCTATAGAGGCATTTCCACTTGTAATGGTGTTTTTTTTTTCTTGTTGGAGAAATAGAAGCAAAATGAGCAGGAGAAACTTAGTGGTACAGGATGGTGACTTCAGGGGAGGGAGGGAGGGAGGGAGAGGGTTTATTCCAAGGGCTGGACCTCTCTGGTCATCCCTGTTCCTCATTACTACATTCCTCATTTATTCTGCAGCTTGGCACTGAGCTGCTGTCTCAGTATCAGGCCTTGCTCTTAAGCTGATCATGCCTTGTAAGTGGGTTTTGTTTTTCATGTGGCACTGACTCATTCTCCTAAGAGGTCGATAATTTCACAGCTCCTTATCACTAGTTTGTCATTTGAAACAGAAGAAATACAACTGTGAGTCTCTCAGGTATCAGACAACGAGGTGAGAGCACAGTGAACAGGTAAAGGCTGGGCAGCTGCAGCTCCCCATTGCAGAACAGCTTTTTCTGACATCTGAAATTAAGTGATTTTGTTATCGAAGTCATGAGAGTGCTCATGGAAAGCACCTTCTGAAGGGGGTTTTGCACACCTTTGGGTTGGTTAAAGAGTTGTTCTTTCCCACACGAAGATAAAATAAACAGGAGATTATATTGTGATATCCAGCCTCACTGAAATGTGGCTTTGACTCATGTTCTTTTAGTAACTTGTATTAGAATTTAGGATGTTCTCTGCAGGCACATTTGCCTCCTGCACAGAATTAACAGAAGTTGGAGCTTCTGAGCTGTTTATTTCGGAGCAAAGCTGTTCAGATGTGAATGGCTGTAAATCCTGATCTGGTTTTTTGTCTGGGAGCGTTTGGACCACAACTGAAGTGGACTGGAGGCTGCTCTAGCAGCCCTGGGTTGTTCTGTACTTACCTGTGGCGTTGGTTGGTTGTGAAGCTGCTTGACTTACAGTGCTGTGAGATCTGTGGGGACAGAAGGTGCTTTGGAGGTTTTATAAGGTGTGTATGCAGTTCTGCAGGGGGTCATTGTGCCTGCACCCAAATTCAATGTCTGCGTTTTAGTGCTGAACTCTTGAATTGTCAGGAAAGTTTTGATAAGCTGGAAGGGGCAAGGAGAGCTCACTGTTACATCTTGAAGAGACTGCAGGTATGAATTTGGGGAGGACTGATGAAAACAATCGTACTTTGAGTGAAAGGGAAGAGGTAATGGCCAGGTTTGAAATGTGCAAACGTGGTGGGGGAGGTGAAGGTGAGCCTGGTGTAAATGTGAAGGAACACAGGAAAAATAATCTGAAGGAAAGCAAAGACTTGCTCACAGCCCCCTAGGATCTGGCCAAGAGGACCACTCTGTTGGGCTGTAGTACTTCAGATGTCTGCCAGGCTTCAGTTAGCTGTTGGGAGCAGCCTCAATAGCCTTTGGATTTCAGGTGGGTGGCACTTAAGAACGAATAACCTAACCTACCTAGTATTCCTGGAGTTAGCACCCTTAAGGAAGAGATTTGGTGGAGGAACCCTTCCTGGGTAGCCACTGAGACATTTAAACAGGAATTGTAGTGATGGGGCTCCAAGCACTGAATACAGACAGATTTGAAGAGCTTGCATTGGGACTTTGCCTCCCCCAGGCACTTCTTGTGTGGGAATATAGCAATTTTTTTTTTTTTTTTTGGGAAGAGTTCTGCTGTGGGGTAAGTTCTTCAGCTCTTCCTACCTGTATGTGGGCTGGGAAGTTGTACAAAAGCCTTGAGTGATCTTGTTCAGCATTGGGAGTGGGCTGTGAAGCAGGCAGGGGAGTAGGGACATGTTCAAGAGATGTTTCTTCATGGCTACGATAATATGAAATATGGTTTTATCTGTTATTGAAATAACCAAAGAATCGAGTTCCCACCTAGCAATTGAAGCTTCAAGAACTGTCATTCAGAAGCGGATTCATGAGATCTTGAGTGTTGGTACGGTGTTGGTGTTCTGCATCAACAACACAAGAGCAAAGTGTTGCCTCTAGTGATGCCCGTGATCCTCTTGCAGCGAAAGCAGTGGATGGGGTGGCTCATTTAGGAGGTGTTTGCAGCATTCCCCATCCCAGCATGCAGAGAACTGCTCCTCCAGAACTCCTCTGGAGCAGGGCTTCGTGCTGCTGCTGGCCCCACAGCATCAGGAAGGCGGGCAGTGTGATTCAGAGCGTGGTTTTCAACCCCAGAAAGTGGGAGATGAAGGCTCTATTTCTTGCTCTGCTGCTTAGCAGAGCTGCAGAGTTG